ATGCTTGTTGCAATAGAGTTTAGCAATTTAAATAGTCTTGAATTCACAGGTCACAAAGTTGAGTTACACACAAATGCACATAGTTTGGCCTTAATCAAGTATATCAGTAGAAAAGAAACAATGTAGAAGTGACAGCTTATATAAGTATATTTTAAGAGAAAGCTACTTCTGAACCCCATATCATTCTGAACGTATCTATATGGTAAATGTGTACTTTATATTTCATTCTTTTAAGTCTTAGTTTTCTTCCTGTATATTAAATTTGATAGAATTTTAAACAAATCCTAAAAAATCATTTTGTGTTTTCCGTTACACCTTAGCAAAGATGACAAGTAACACTGACATTTTATTATGAATAAGCTACATTGGCTTTAAGTTTAAGATGAAAAATCATATTTTTTGTGTGTCATGCAGACAAGACATTTAAAGTGTTGGTGACAAAAATAAATGAGAAGAAGAAATATATATTGAAAGGTTAAAGAGACATGAATGGTAAAGAATAAAATAGCTTTCTAAATAGTATTAAAAGTTAACTATTTGTACAGACCTATACTTTAAATGTGAACTTAGGATACAGAAGGATCCTTAGTAAACTTTTATGTCTGTAGAATATTTTAATTATTACGACTGTCGACATCAGATACACCTCTCTATACATGAACTAAGTCTTACTGAAGTGTAAGTACTTCTAATATAAAAAAGAATTCTTTAGCCACTTACTTTTGAAAGCTTTTGGAACAAAACACCCTGTTAAATGTACTAGTTAGGATACTGCTAAATACTGTAACAGGAAAGTTGTTAACATTTCAATCATTCAAAATAATATCAGGTTTGTAACTGTGTACCACAGATATTCCTGAGAGAAGTATGACTTTCTTCCACATGGTGATTCAGGGCTCTGATTTCTTTCATTTCCTAGGGTACTGGTTTTCTCTGAACTTAGCTGGCAGAGGAATAAAGTGAGGTAAAGACATCATACCTGTATCTTGATTATCTTTTCTCAAGGTGACAAGTGTCATTTCTCACTCACCCCTTTAGCAAGAACTCTTATATGTCTCTACTTAGAAGCAGGAGGAGTTAGAAAACCTGGTTCTTGGCTAACTAGCTGTTTAGTAGCAATAGTTCTATACTGGTGAAAGCGTGAATCATGGCAGATAGCCAGATGATGTGCCATAGTTCACTCTTGTGGCCACCAAGTTATTTTGTTGCCCTTCTTACTACACCTAAAACACATTCATCTCAACTCAAGAGAAACAACCCGAAGTCCTACTCCATTTTTATATCCAGTCCAATACCTGCATCACATTTAGCTGTGGCACTTTGCAGCCTGGCAACTTGTGAACTTCAGTTTATGATAACTGCCTACTATACCCTCCCTCCTCATTCTGCCTCAGCACAAATCCAGTATAAGTTAACAGAACAGGGACAGGAAAACTACAGGTAAGTTTGCCACATGTAAAAAGGAACGATGGGAAATGCACAGCAGTGATTGTCCAGTTGGAATAATTAAATCCTATCTGGCAGGCACTGGGAAAATACCCTGCTCAGGAAGTGTTCAAGATCTCTTGATTAGACGTGTATTGTGTATTCTGAACTCCCTTGTCCTTTATTCTCCATGGCCCTCTGGGTTCTACACCTTGGAAGCTTCTTCCTTGTCTCTTTATTTATGGTTAAATTCCGTAAAGGACTATGACTACTTTTCGCCTGTGCAATTTGGGAGCCTGAAAACTATTTTACAGACCAATTTGAAGTTTAAGTGCAGCATTTATTTACCAATGCACTTCTCTTAGAAAAGATTTCGTATCTGTGGACCTCCACTTGTTACATCTGGCCAATTTTCACACTTTTATCAGTCAGTCCGTCCAGAAAAACAAACATTTCCAGGTCTTTCCATTGGAGGGAACATAACTTAGGGAATTAGCTGTGCATATGACAGGGAGAAGCCAAGCAGAAGACCGTGAATATTCACAGAAATTAACAAAATCAGGAAACCATTGCATACTCTATGGAAAGAAGAGCAATAGGAAGAAATGATATTATCAGAGCTAAGAGTGCTACTAATAAAAGATATTAAGTTCTTTTTTTTTTTTTTTTTTTTTTTAAAGACGGAGTTTCGCCCTTGTTACCCAGGCTGGAGTGCAATGGCGTGATCTTAGCTCACCGCAACCTCCGCCTCCTGTGTTCAGGCAATTCTCCTGCCTCAGCCTCCTGAGTAGCTGGGATTATAGGCACACGCCACCATGCCCAGTTAATTTTTTGTTTGTATTTTTAGTAGAGTCGAGGTTTCACCATGTTGACCAGGATGGTCTCGATCTCTTGACCTCGTGATCCACCCGCCTTGGCCTCCCAAAATGCTGGGATTACAGGCTTGAGCCACTGTGCCCGGCCCCAGAAGATATTAAGTTCTAATGAAGAGGAACTGAGCTCCTTGAGAGATTTGAGCCATTCATATTATTTAAACTTTGTATATCCCCACATAGTAAGAACTCAAATGTTTATTTAATTGAACAGAACTGAGCAATAAATCCTTCCACTGACTTCAGTTAGAAATACTCATTTTAAAAAAAGAATGGTATGTGATAGTGGGATAACCTTTAATTTGTGGATCAGCCAAAAGCAGTTATCTTGAGACCTCATTTAGTAAGCCATTATCAGTATTTACAAAATGAAAAATTGTCAGAAGTTTTAATTTAAATATTCTCTTCCTGTATAAGAGTTTAGAGTTTGGAACAATACCAATTTTTATGTAAACATAGAAGGAATAATTAAAAACCAATAAAGTCTGTAAGTGGCTCATGCCAAAATAATGTATTTTAAAGTTAGAGTCAGGGATGGATGTGGAGAAAGAGATAAAGCTTTCCAGACTTGTTAGAAACATAGCAGCATTAGCTACAGAAGATATAGAGCTCTATCTTAGTCTTTTATTCTTTTTTGCAATAACCTTCTAAGTTGATAATGATATTCCTTTGTTTACTGGTTTAAGCCAAAAACTATCAGCTTATTTTTCTTTACTGTCATTTAAGAAAGAATCTGTAAAATATTACATTGGCTATTTTAGCAGTTGAATTAATTCTAGAGTATGATCATAATTGTGAAAACATCACAAATGTCATTTAGTTTGTACTTAGATGTCCTTTATATACTTGAGTATATAGATATGCTGGATTCAGCACAGCTATGGCTTTTAGGAAAGGCTTGAGAAAAGTCTCAAAATAGTAGATACATTTAACAAATTGCAAGTTGAGAATAGTTTGAGAAGATTTTATGACTGTGTTGTCTTTCCTAGAGAGAAGGAGAGTCTTGCTTAAAGATTTCTCGGTGAAGATTTCTTATACTGTAAATGAAGACTTGGAGGTAGGGGAAGGGCATGACAAAGTCAGTTGCCATGAATGCTTTCAAAACACCTTGCAGCACTGTTTACAATAGCAAAGACCTGGAACCAACCCAAATGCCCATCGATGATAGACTGGATAAGGAAAATGTGGTACATATATACCATGGAATATTAAGCAGCCATCAAAAACGATGATTTCGTGTCCTTTGTAGGGACATGGATGAACCTGGAAACCATCATTCTCAGCAAACTGACACAAGAGCAGAAAATCAAACACTGCATGTTCTCACTCATAGGCGGGTGTTGAACAATGAGAACACATGGACACAGGAAGGGGAGCACTACACACTGGGGTTTGTTGGGGGGAAGTGGGGGAGGGACGGGTGTGAGGAGGTGGGAAGAGATAGCATGAGGAGAAATGACAGATACAGGTGAGGGGAAGGAAGGCAGCAAACCACACTGCCATGTGTGTACCTATGCAACAATCTTGCATGTTCTTCACATGTACCCCCAAACCTAAAATGCAATAATAATAAATAAATAAATAAAAGTTAAAAAAAGAATCCAAGAATAGAAGGCTGCCTTATTAAATTGATAAGCACTATACAACTTGAGACTGGACTTTTGTTTTGTTATATTAAAGTCAAATTGTAACAGTATTACAAAGAAATTTCAGGTTCACAATCACTTTGTGTTGCCTCAGGATTTATGCACAGGAAGATATATTGCAATATAGTTTTAATGAAAATGTTAATTTTGGTTGTAAAAAAATTTAGCATACCTGGAAATGTTTATAATCTTCCATTCATATCTAAACTTCAAGTTTATGGCTTAAAATATAACACAGTGTACTTCATTTATTTGTTTTGTGTTTTAGCCTATAATGCTCCCATTTAAAAATACTCATTAAGGCTGGAATGTAAACTGTGTCTAAAATATGTTATAACTGATTTTAAATGGAGGAAAGTACCTTGTTTTATCTGCATGGCACCTAACATCTGAAGAGTAGGCTTCTCTTTCCTGGGTTGACTCTGTGAAGTGAGGGTTGTAAAATAATCACTTGGTAATTTGACAGTTTTATTAAAAATAATTACTTTGTTTCAGTTATTATAGTATCTATAGTTTTGAAAACATGTCAGGAAAAATCCTTTCGTATTGATCTGGAGCAGAAAATGTGTTGTTTTCCATCTCTAATTGAGTTGATTTCCTTTACTACTATTTTACAATGAAAATATTCAAACGAGGCATATTTATGCTGCTTCAAATAATTGATTTTGCTTTTTAAGCATGTTATCCATAATTTCAAAGCATATCTTTCTGAACTGCTTTGCCCTGAGGAGTTTAGAATTTTCTTGAAATTGCGGGTATCTCTTGAGTATTTTTCAATGTCAGTTCAACTGTAGCTTGTTGTGCTATTAATTCATTATAAAGTGACACAGGAAGAAAACTCATTATGTGATAATGTGAAAACACATATTTGTCAAAAAATAAATTGAGTCTGTATTGATAATCCATCAGCTATGGTAGTAGGAAGTCAAATGGTTTATTAGATTCATTTGGGTGTTGACACCAGTTTTTCAAACAAGAAAACATAAAAAAGTTTGTAGTTCCAAACCATAGGCACTCTGTATCATGCATTTAAATGTATTTTCTTTTTTCCATCCAGGTGATATTATACCCAACTTCTAATAGCTCCAAATCAGCTGAATTACACCGAATGGTAGTTCCAAAAAATAGCCAAGACTCTGACTTAAAGATCAAACTGGCAGTGCGAATGGATAAACCAGCACATATGAAACATAGTGGGTAAGTGTATATTTGAGGATTTTTTCCCGAATTATTGGATTTCATTTCAATGTATTATTTCTGTCAGTTTAGCCAGAGAACCAGTATAGCAGGCTTTTGCATGGAGTTTTCTCAAAAAGTGACATACGTAAGTTATCTTATTCAGTGTTTTTAGACCGATAGATGGCTTTATAGCTCAAGACATGGGTCTTCAGTTAACTATATGTGTGCTACCACAATATTGGTACTTGATTGTATTAATATTACTTATCAGTCATATTGATGGAGGGCACTGATACCTTCTAAGAAACATTCTTCAAATTGCAGTAATAGGTGAAACAAGCTTAGTATTGAAGTCCCTAGAAATAGTTAAACTTCCATAGAATATGTGAAAACTAACACATAATTTAACTATGACCCGTAGTTTAGCTTAGACTGTATATATTTTGACAAGAGGAATATTAGTGTTCATCCAAACATGTGAGTGAGAACTGAATCAGTATTGGAGAAAACTGCTGCTGTTGCATGGAGAAGAAATTCAGGGACTGTCTCCTGGGAATCACCAGGGATCATAGTCAGACTTCATCCCTGCCAGGGTTCTTTGTCTGTTGCAGCTAGTGAGGAAACAAGTCTGAACTCTTGAATAAAATAAAGTGAATTTCCAAAACTCCAGGAGTTTCTAAGAATAACACTTTGGACTAACTGTTGCCAAATCCCAGTATAGGGGTGTTAGCCATTAGGAAAGCAAAAGAGCCATTTTTCTTTCTAAGGAGAAAAGCAGTTGTTGAAGTGCCTTACCTGAGTTTAGCACAGAGGTCTAAGAAAGTGCATCCTTGTAACAAGCAGAGCCTGCTGGCATTAGGTCCAAATCACTAACATCAGGGTGGAGCAGACTGATGATTCAAAAAATGAGGAGAATTCTTTTGACGACCATTAGGGGAAACATGGTTAGGCTCTGGGCAGGGGGCAACCCAAGGTATACATTACAGTTGGGATGGAACTAAAGACTGTATTGCTTTTAGGCAGACTGTTTGTAGGCAGCATGTACACCTCACCAAAGGGAAAGGTACATGAAAGGGTGGGCTTTTAAGAAGGGAACCAGGATTTGGATACCAACATTATGCATCTTTAATGTAGTAATATAAAATATACTATGACGCAGATGGAGTAGGTGGGATTTAATATCCATCTACCTGCTCACCAGTAATTTATGCAGCAGGAGTGTATTGAGTACTTACTATGTTCCAACTAGGACAAACTTTAATGAGATATCATTACAGGCCTATAGGAAGTGGGTAGGCAGGGATTCAGACTTGTATGCAAATAATTATGACATTGAATGATAAGCGCTGTAAGACGGAAATGGAAACCCAAGAGAAATAATATCTGATTTTGCTGGGTATAGTGAATGGAAATTTCACGGAACACCTGACTTTAGAGATAAAACTTGAAGAATAAGGTAGTCTGGGAGAGATGGCATTCCAGCTACATGACAGCATATGCAAAGGCAGGAGTCCTGGAAGGGCTTTTAGCTGATGATGACAAGTTCAGTTTAACTGTCAGAGAGTGCTGTGCTCTGAAGTGCTTAGAGATTAGTAGAGATGCACATAAAAGAGCACAGTATGTTCCAGGAACGGCAGTTGTATCTCTACTCTTTTTTACTCAGTCCCTTTTTCTTTTGATTAATGACACAATAGAAAAACAGGAACCTATAATAATGCCAAGGTGACCCTAATTTACCCATGACCAGTACCAGGCCATGGTGAATACTCCTGGAACCTTCAGCTTGTCCCAGAAACAAACACTGAATATGCATAGGGTAGGTTCTGTAAACTTTAGCTCCAGTGGGAAGAAATCCTTGCTCTAACCTGGCAGTTTCTTTGTTCAGCATACTCCAGAATAGGTGAGACAATCCAGACCCCTTTCAAGACTTGATTTTGGGGTAGAGTTTGTTTTTATCAATCCTTTCCACTAAATCAGTACCCCTGGAATGGCCCTGCAGTTGACTGCTGCCCAAGACTGTAGGTGAAGGAAAAGACTGAAAAGGATATATTATGGTCTCTTAATTTAATCCATAAGGCTCAGGCACTCACTGAAGGACTCGGACCAGAAATGCATCATAGCCCAACCATATAAATCATTATCTAACATTGCTAAGGGATACAGGCATTTCCAGATATTCAGGTATCTCTGTAGTTTGTGAAATACAAATTGAAACAATGTTAGAACTAAAAAATACCATACCTGTGATTATGTTGTGCTAAGACAGTATGTTATGTAGCAAAATTAAGAATATCATATTCCAAAATGGTGATTCAATTAAAATATTTTAATGTTATATTAGAAGTAATCTACCAGAATTAAAAGTTTTCAACATTGCTATAATAATAATTGATCCCTATTAGAGGTGCTTTAACCTAAGCATCTGTTCTGTTTTTTCAGTACCCGTGTGGTAACAGTTTTAAATATTTTGAATGGTATGCCTGTGTGTAAATATATATGGGAGAACATTTCACCTACAACATAGCTATATTTGTCTTTTTCTGAGGTATTTGGTAAATAGATTTTACTGCACTTAATTACATTCAAGAAGAGAAAGAAAGCTAATCTTTTTCTTCCAAGTATTTCATCATATACCAAAGCAATAATGTAACAGGAATAGTAGATTAATAGCATTTTGTTTTGGTCCTGGATCATGTTTTGTCAGTAATTTCTTCTATAATCAATTATTAACAGATGGATAATAATTTTAAAAGAGACAAGTCAAGTTTTTAAAAAGATTAATTTATCTTTAAAACATAGCAAACTCCTGTTTCAGATAGAATTGTTAGGTGGATTAAACAATAAATTGGAGGGTAATGGATTTTTACCTCCAGAGCACTTTAGACTTTGAAATCTTTTGGGACTTAAGTAGTAAAAACCTATTCTCTGTTTTTATAATGTGGGCATCAAATATGTCTTGTAACATGTATACCGTTTTAATCATTTATCACTTATCTATGGCCCATAAATTTTTGTATCAAAGTTATTTACATTTTTGTGTGTGTTCTCAACTATACTCTAAGTTACTTAGACCTACTTGAATTCTCAATGCCTCCTGCAGTGTATAAGCAAAGATAGATATTAATATGAATAATGGTGAGAATGTAATATTTTGCTCCCTAGAGTATTAAGGGAAAAATAATACAAATGAGGGAAAGCCTCATGTACACATTGAAACTTAAAAGAAAAGATAGATATTAATATGAATAATGGTGAGAATGTAATATTTTGCTCCCTAGAGTATTAAGGGAAAAATAATACAAATGAGGGAAAGCCTCATGTACACATTGAAACTTAAAAGATTCTAAACACAGTTTATTGGAAATAGGACATAATTTTAATGTAAAAAAAATGCCTAAAGTAAATGAAATAATGTTTAGTGCTCAACATTGCATTTTAAAATGACTATTTTTTTTAAACAAGGTAAAACGCATCCAATCTAAAGCTCATGTTTCTGATAACTAATCAGTCCATGACTATACATTATAGTTTATTTAAGCAGGACTAACTACATATAAATGAAAATAGACATTTAATTTGAATCAAATAAGCATAATGATGGTTCCATCCTTTTAAAACCAAACTGAGCATTACTACAACATGCATATTTAGCAAAAACTTGAATTTATTCTTTTGGAATATGTCATATAAACTAATTATGGCAACTAACCCTAGATAAATCTGTTAAACAAATTACCAGCTAGGTTTTGAAGGGTTAAATGATTCACATCCAGCTCTTGAATTAATTTTTCTGGTGTGTGTATGTGTGTGTGTAGCATGAAGTTAGAAGTGTTCTTAAACAAATGGGCTATACTTTAGCGTAGCCTAGTGGCTAAGTAACAGTATTAACTTAAAACTCAAATATTCTTCCTGTTTTTATTAAATAAAATCATTTCCCTAATTCAGAGGTTATTTTCTCAACCAAAAAAAGATAAAATAAAATGGAACTTATAAGTGACTGTTATGACAATTAAATCTATAACTGAAAAAGAGAAAATTGTCACAAATATGTGGAAGCATTATGATCATGATCTATGAGATGTCTGCATGCAACTGATCACTTTTATAGTAAAAAATTAATAGAGTTTCATAACTATACAACTATAGAAGATTCTTATAGATTCAAATTGGTAGGACAAAACTTTAGCAAAAATACTCTCATATAAATCTCATGTTTCTCTTTTTGTAGAGTCATGCTTGGCTATTTACACATTTGTTGAATGAATGGATGGATTAAAATATTTTGACATTGTCACAAATAAAACTCTCTAGTATAATTTCCATCATAAAGATAGAAAAGAGATTGGGCTCATCTCTTGTTGCAAGGAGAGACAATAGTTGAGCTTCCAGCAGGACAAACAAGCCCCAGGCCAGCTACATTGTGGCCCCACCCTTTCCCAGAGAGACGGCCAGCTGGGCATCCAGAGGTTGGGGCAGCATGCCTGCATAAACCACATTCACACACTAAACATTCAGACATTGTATTTTCTAATAAAGTGAAGTGACTGCACTTTAGTAAAGTTGTATTATTTAGCTTATCATTTAAGGTTTATGATTTCCAATTAATTTAGGGGAGGAAAATCTTAGCTGTGTTGAGGTAGTATTTTCTCAGAGGGTCCAGGCTTTACAAAAAAGCCAGGTCTGTTTTTTTCACAGAGAATATATTGATATATCATTTTTAAAGGCTCCTTTTAGAATTACTTTCCTCCATGTCCTTGTCTAAAATATGTTTCAACATCTGACCTTGACCTGAACCTATGTATGTGTTGGTCTGCTTGCATTCCCAGGTTGAACTTGGCCCAGCCTGGCTTATCCTGATTTCACAGAAATCCTACTTGAGTCCCTTGAACTATAATAATAATATTGTTTTTTAAATGTTTTTTTTAAATTTTTTTTTGAGACAAGGTCTCACTCTGTCACCCAGACTGGAATACAGTGGCACCATTGTGGCTCACTGCAACTCTACCTCCCAGGCTCAA